GGGAAAAAATTTTTGTATTTTCTTGGACTGTGAAAAATTTTTTGCAGTACCGCACAAGAGACTGGTCAAAAAGTAGAGGAGCAGGCAAGAAGAAGAGGAAAACACTACAATGAATCGGGAATACCTGACAGGAAAGAAACAACGATTAAAGACCGTGATGAGGTGTCGGAATGGGTGCATGTAAACAACGGAGTCCACAGGGATCAGTCCTAGGGCTGGTTACTGTTCAATGAGGACAAGTTTCAATTACTCGGCTATGGAAAATTCGAAGAAATAAAAACTAGATCGTGGTATAAAATAAATTCCGACCACACAATAGAGCGAAAAAAGATTTAAGAACCAGGGAGTGATAACGTCAGGGGAACCCACTTTCATGTATGACAACATGTCTCAAACCCAACATCTGCTAGGAAAATTATAAATGTATAATGAAGCCTTCAGTTTTGGAATAGAAAAACCACTGAGATTCTCTTGAAATTGTTTGTTCTCTCTAGGCTGGCGTATTTATAGAGTATGCCTGGAGTTTTGCTGTACACGAACGACTTCTTTAAAGGCAAGCGAAATCGCAGACCGGGAGAAAAATACAGACAACTTTCCCTATGAAAGCAAGAGACTGGGCAGTTGGTGCAACTCCCCCAATGAAAAGCAGAGGCACCATGAGTATGCTAAGAGACAGCACATAATTGTCAGGGACCCAATACTGTTTAAAAAACTGCCTCCCAGCATACATAAGGGAAATTACCAATAGACCCCTAGCTACTTCAAGATAGAGCTGGACAGGCACCTAAAGTCAGTATGGGGGAACCAGTGGGCTGTGGTTCGTACGTCGGTTTGTGGCGGTCTGCAGTAACTGACTGGTGATCGGGCCCCTGATCCACCACGACGCCTGGTCAGGGAAACGGGCCGGGGGCGTTGACTTCCCGGGAAAACTTTTTCTAGGTATACGTGAATGACATGACAGAAGGGATAGAGCCAGATGTATCCTTGTTCGCTGACGACATAAAAAATGAAGAGAATACAAGCGGACGATGACTAGGAAGGGCTACAAAGGAATCTGGAATAGGCTACACGCCCGCAACTGACAAATGACTCCCTGAGTCTAACCTCATCAAGTGCAAATTATGAAGCCTGGGGAAGGACAAAGAAGACCACCAGACGAAGTATATTATTATTATTATTATCAAAAAGAAGCGCTAAGCCACAATGGGTATACAGCCAGACGAAGTATAGGTTCGGAGGGCAAAAGGCTGCAAACCTCACTCAAGAAAAGGATCTTAGTGTGAGTATTTTACCGAGCACATCCCCTGGGTGCCCATCATTCAAATAACTGCTGCAGCAATATGGGGGCCTAGCAAAACTAAGAATAGCGTTTTGACATTTAGTAAGGATTCATATCACGACACTGTACACCGTGTATTGTCAGGCCCGTATTGGAACTTGCAGAACCAGTATGAACCACAACCTGGTCAAGCAAGTCAAGAAATTAGAAAAGTGCAAAAAATTTGCAACAAGACTAGTCCCGGAGCTAAGGAGTATGTTCTGTGAGAAGCCGTAGGAGACTTGGACCTGCCTCGCATGGGCCAGTAGGCCTTCTGCCAGTTTTTTCCTTCTTTCCCTTATGTTTTTTATGTTCTTATGAACTCAACTTTACGACACTGAAAGACAGGAGGACAAAGAGGGATATGATAACGACACACAAAATACTGAGAAATATGACACTGTGAACAGGGGCAGAATGTTCCAGAAGGGACGCACAACCAAGAGGTCACAAATTAGATGTTGGAAACTGGGATTAGCATAGAATTTAATTATTTATATGGGGTGTGGTTGTAAGATACATCAGTGTTGTTTATGGTTGGACTCTTTAAGATACATCGGTGTGGTGTATGGTTTGTCTCTTTAAGATACATCATTGTGGGATGCCAAGCCTATGATGACGCTCTTCAGGTCGCTTGTTCTGTCTAGGCTGGAATATTGCTGCACACTAACAGCCTCTTTCAAGGCAGGTGAAATTGCTGACCTAGAAAAGTTACAGAGAGCCTTCACGGCACACATAACATGCGATAAAACACCTAAATTACTGGGAACGCTTGAAGTTCCTCAACCCATACTCCCTAGAACGCAGGCTGGAGATATACATGATTATATACATTTGGAAAATCCTAGAGGGATTAATACCAACTTGCACACGAAAATCAATCGGCAGATGATATCAACATCCCCCCAATGAAAAGCAGGGGGCGCCACTAGCACGATAAGAAACAACACAGTAAGTGTCAGGGGCCACGACTGTTCAACTGCCTCCCAGCATACATACGTGGGATTAGCAATAGACCCCTGGCTGTCTTCAAGCAGGAGCTGGACAGGCACCTCAAGTCAGTACCTGACCAGCCGGGCGTGGTTCGTACGTCGGGTTGCGTGCGGCCAACAGTAACAACCTGGTTGATCAGACCCCGATCCACCATGAGGCCTCGTCACAGACCGGGCCGGGGGGGCGTTGACTTCCGGAACCCCCTCCAGGTAGGCTGGGGTCTTGTAAGATACACAGTGTAGTGTGTGTTGAAAGATCATCATGAAGTGTGTTTGTAAATACACATGTAGTTTGTGTTGTAAGAAAACTGTAGTTGTGGTTGTAAGTACATCATGTAGTGTGGGGTTTTGAAAGTAAGAAGTTTCTTTTGATAATGTTGATTTTTCTAATAAAAGCGTAAAGGTTCTTTAAATAATGTTGGTTGTTTTTACAGAATGGAAGTGTTTCATTGGTGTTGATTGTTTTTAAGAATAGAGTAAATGTTCACTGAAATGTTGTTTTTCACAAAAAGTGGAATTTTTCACTATAATGTTTTGTGGGCCAACTTTTTTCCCGGGCTGTGTTCCTTTAGGCGATCGACATTCCGCTTCCCTAAAATTTAATTACTTTTTGGCTCCATATGTGTTGGTTTTCTAGTTACGGTTGGAAAAAATTATTCTGTCGGAAAAATTTTTTTACTACTCAAGAGGAGCAAATAAACACGGGAGGATGCAAAAACAGACACGCACATGGCGAACCTTTATTGGGATCAATATTACGAAATAAAAAAGGGGCAAAGATATCTTACTGTTGTTGTAGATATTACAGAAAACGCTTTAAAAATCATTTGTTATATGCACTTTTATATGGCTGGGCATTTATAATTCATTGTTGGGTGTGTAGAATGGTGTTCGAAACACAGAGTTAAAGAGGAAATGATGGTGAAGGAAGGCATGAGAGACAAGTGGAAGACATCTTGTGCAGTGGGGGGCTTCCCCCGGTGTAGCCAGGACGGCCCGAGTTTAAACCCTGCCCCACCCTCCACCTTTGATGATATTTTAGCATCTTTGGTGTCCGTCAGAGGTTGAAAATGAGACAGAGATTGAGAGAAGAAACTGTAGAGGGGGACGTGACGCCCGGTGGATGAAGATGAGCGCCACACACTGATTTTGTGCTTACTGCTGAGCATGATAACAGGTATATAGAGCTGGGGTAAGGGAGGCTACTCCCGCATCTCTCTTAACTATGTATAAACAATACTTCCTTTGAAGGGGAGTGTCTTGAGCCGGTGAAGGGCTCTTGATCTAAGGAGTTTGGAGCGGCCCTCCTTTTTTCCAATAATTAAACCTGAATATTTCCCATTTGCCAGGCGCAGTATAACCCTTATGGTTTTAACGCTTCCCAATGAAAAAAAATACTGTAGCAAATATCATGATTATTTTTTGTGTTAAGAAGCGCTAAATACGTATCGCCTGGTGGTGAGGGGTTATCAGATTTGATTAAAGGGAAAGGGAAAAAGCAAATTTAATTATTGTCATTAAAATTCCTTCACTAGGAGCGTAATACAAATTTAATAACTGTTGTTTACACTTTCTGAGTGGAATGTGATCCTATGAGAAATTTGAAAGTGTCGGCTAGTAAATTTATAATGTGTCTTATTGATGCTGCTTGTATTTAAAAAATCATTGAACGATTTTTTAGTCAGCCAGGTTTGTTTTATAATCCGTTTTTGGTAAGAAAAAAAAAGCTAATTTAAATTTACAAAATTTTATAAAATGATATAATTGTCAGCCCCCCAAAATTGACCGATAAGTCTTAGGAAATATACCATCCAGATTATATACACCGAGATGCATGTCTCGATGTATATACGCCGAGAATGTTTATATTATAGTGATTAAAATTCATTGACTGGGGGTGTATACGTTATGTGGATCCTTTTGACCCTCATGTAGTCGATAGGTTTAAACCCACTTAACCAACCAACCGTTATACCTTACTGTAGTTAAAAAATGTGAGTTTTGTATTATCGTAGGCCAGATGTATTGTAGATCCTCAAATATCATAGAAAAAATATTTATTATATTCAAAGGGAGACCTAAACCCGGAAGGGTCATAGAGCGCCTGCGGAATGGGAGGCATTAATAATAATAATAATAATTGGGATTTTGTTATTCATGAGCGCTTGTTATTTAAAGAGATTTATTTGCGCTCGCACACCAAGCCATAAATGTAATAACAGTGATGAAAATTACTGAAGTTAATTTTCAATAGTAACAGTATGATCGTCAGGATCATTATATCCAGAAAAAGATAGGCATTCAACGGAGACTCTGAATCATAAAACTGATTCTTGATAAGAGACACTGGCAACCCATTACAACAATCTAGGATAATATGTATATATAAAATATATATATATATATATATATATATTATATATATATATATTTATATATAAAATATATAATCTATTTTAATATATATAATAATATATATATATATTTTATATATATATATAAAAATATATATATATATATATATATATAAATATAATATATATATATATATATATATATCTTTATTATGCACCCTGTGGGTAGTAGACAAAAAATTTTGCAGACGATACCAGAATTTGCATGACAGTGTCATCCATAAAGGGGCACTGCAGATCTCTAAGCGGATATTAACCAAGTCTTTAAATGGGGGGTCAGAAAACAAAAGAAGTTCAATAAAGACAAATTTCAATTACTCCGCTGTGGAAACTCGAGGAAATAAAAACTGGTAAGAATATAAAACAAATTCAATCAACACCATAGAACGAAAAAACTAATGTGAAGACCTGGATGGTATGTCAGAGAATCTCTTTCAAAGATCACAAACAATGTGCCCTACCACATCTGCTAGGAAAATGATAGGACGGATAATGAAACATTCAAAACTAAGATCCAAGCAACTGATGTCTCTTCAAACGCTTGTTCTTTCTTGGATGGAATTGCTGTACACTAACGGCCTTTTCAGGCAGGGGGAAATGCACCCTGGAGAATATACAGAAAAACCTTTACTGCCTTAAATCCCATAAAGCACCTAAATTACGGAAACGTTTGATGCCCTCCCCGCACTTTTGGGAAAACGGCGAGAAAGATCTGATATATACACTTGGAAAATCCAGGGACTAGTCCCCAATCACACACTAATCACTCCCTACGAAAGCAAAAGACTCTGCAGGTGATGCAACATTCTCCCTCAGTGAAAAGATGAGTAGCCACAATAAGTGTAAGAGGCCCAAGACTGTTCGACTGCCTCCCAGCATACACGAGAGGGATTACCAGTTGGCCCAAGCTGGACGACACCTAAAGTCAGTACCTGACCAGCTGAGCTCGGGTTTGTACATAGGTTTGCGTACGGCAGCAGTAGCGCCTGGTTGATCAGTCTTGATTCACCACGAGACCTGGTCATGGACAGGGCCGTGGGTGTGTTGACCCCCGGAATGGGGGCCCTCCAGGTAATCACAATAATGGGTCCAGGGACTGGGCCAATAGAGTTTTGATAGCCAGATATAAACACGTTTATATCTGGTCACAGTCGTAATGAGTTATTTATCAGCCATGAATTAGCAACGTTTCCCTTTTCTCCCCAACTACATGATTCTCAAACTGTCTGAAAAACGAAAGTCTCGTTAATTCCAGAAAAATTTCCGAGCCTGATGTAAAAGCTGCAAACATGTCAGTAAGATTCTTGGATTCACTAAATTTAATTCTGTAGCTTTAAATGCTGAACAGGTTTCATGCAAGGATGGATCAAGAGTCCTTCACCTTGAAGGAAATATCGTACAGCAACGCTGCTGCGCCTAGTCATTTTCAAATTTTAAAAACTTTATTATCATCCCATATTAATCCTGTGGGTGTAGTCTTCCTGTATCCACCGTGGCTGGTAGCCACCCGATATCCATCATGTGGGGGTTGCTCATATTCGGTCTGTGGGCGGTAGTCACCTTTGTACTTATGTGGGCGGTTTTCCACCCTCAAAGCACCTGGAGTTTACCTGGGGAGAGAGTTTTGGGGGGTCAACGCCCCCCCCGGGCCCGGGCTGTGACCCAGGCCTCATGGTGACCAGGGCCTGATCAACCAGGCTGTTACTGCTGACTGCATGCAATCCAACGTACGAACCACAGCCGGGCTGGTCATTAACCGACTTTAGACGCTTGTCCAGTGCCTGCTTAAAGACAGCCAGGGGTCTATCGGGAATCCCCCTTATGAATGCTGGGAGGCAGCTGAACAGTCTTGGGCCCCCTGACACTTACTGTGTTGGGCTCTTAGCGTGCTAGTGGCACCCCTGCTTTTCATTGTGAGGATGTTGCATCGTCTGCCGAGTCTTTTGCTTCCGTAGGGAGGGGATATTCGTGTGCAAGTTTACCCGGAGAGAGTTCCGGGGGTCAACGCCCCGCCCGGGCCCCGGGCTGTGACCAGGCCTCCCGGTGGATCAGAGCCTGATCAACCAGGCTGTTACTGCTGGCTGCACGCAAACCAACGTACGAGCCACAGCCCGGCTGGTCAGGAAACCCACTTTAGGTTCTTGTCCAGTGCCAGCTTGAAGACTGCCAGGGGTTCTGTTGGTAAAACCCCCTTATTTTATGCTGGGAGGCAGTTGAACAGTCTCGGGCCCCTGACACTTATTGTTAAAGGTCTCTTTAACTGCTAGTGACACCCCTGCTTTTCATTGGGGGGGGGGGGATGCTGCATCGTCTGCCAAGTCTTTTGCTTTCGCAGTGAGTGAATTTCGTGTGTAAGTTCGGTACTAGTCCTCTAGGATTTTCCGTGTAAATAATCATGTACTCTCCCGCCTGCATTCCAGGGAATACAGGTTAGGGAACCTCAAGACTCCCAGTAATTGAGGTGTTTTATCTCCGTTATGCGCGCCGTGAAGGTTCTTGTACATTTTCTAGGGCAGCAATTTCACCTGCCTTTAAAGGTGCTGTTAGTGTGCAGCAATATTCCAGCCTAGATAGAACAAGTGACCTGAAGAGTGTCATCATGGGCTTGGCCCCCTAGTTTTGAAGGTTCTCATTATCCTTCCTGTCATTTTTCTAGCAGATGCGATTGATGCAGGTTATGGTCCTTGAAGGTGGATCCTCCGACATGATCAAATCCAGGTCTTTGACGTTGGTGTTTCGCTCTATTTTGTGGCCAGAATTTGTTTTGTACTCTGATGAAGATTTAATTTCCCCGTGTTTACCATATCTGAGTAATGAAATTTCTCATCGTTGAACTTCATATGTGTTTCTGCAGCCCACTGAAAGGATTTGGTTGATGTCCGCCTGGAGCTTGCAGTGTCTGCAATGGGAAAAACTGTCATGCAGATTCGGGTGTCATCTGCAAAGGAAGACACGGTGCTGTGGCTGCATCCTTGTCTATGTCGGATTTTGAGGATGAGGAACAAGATGGGAGCGAGTACTGTGCCTTGTGGAACAGAGCTTTTCACCGTAGCTGCCTCGGACTTTACTCTGTTGACGACTACTCTCTGTGTTCTGTTAGTGAGGAAATTATAGATCCATCGACGATTTTCCTGTTATTCCTTTAGCACGCATTTTGTGCGCTATTACGCCATGGTCACACTTGTCGAAGGCTTTTGCAAAGTCTGTATATATTACATCTGCATTTTTGCTTCTAGTGCACGTAGGACCTTGTCGTAGTGATCCAATAGTTGAGACAGACAGGAGCGACCTGTTCTAAACCCAGTAACTGTAGGACGACTCCCGTGTCTATGCTCCCTCCCCATTGGATATTAAAAACACTTTATAGGGGCTTCTTGCAGTTCTTGATGAACACAGAGTTCCATGAGTCTGGCCCCGGGGCACAGTGCATGGGCATGTCATTTTTCACCTGTTCGAAATCATTTGCATCAGGATAATGTCAGATAGGCTTGTGCTTACCAAATTCTGTGGCGATCTCATAAAAAATTTATTTAAATCTTCGACTCTCATTTCTTTTAGCAGCTCGCTAAAACTGAGTCATATTGGGACTTGAGTAGCTCACTCATTTCCTTGCTGTCATCTGTGTATGACCCATCTTGTTTAAAAGTAGGGGCCCATTAGGGATGTTGTTCTCGACTTCGATTTGGCATAAGAAAGAAATACTTTGGGTTTCTTTCGATTTTATTTAGGGTTTTTAGTTTTCCGCGATCTTGACTCCTCAAAG